CTCCTCCTCCTCCTCCTCCTCCTCCTACTACTACTACTACTACTACTACTGTCGCTGGCGTGCCGGCGAAGGTCGGCGGCCCGCCCAAAGGGGCAGGGCGAAGGGGGCTGTTTTCTGTCAGGGCACCTGGGGGGATTTCTCGGAAGGGTCCCTGGGCCCTTGCTGAGGAGAGCCTCTTCGAGGCCCTCGCCATCGCTCGTTTTCGGCTTTGCGCGCGAATTTTTTCGCAAGATGGTCCAGGATGCTCCTCGATACTCTTCGCCGGGGATGCACACGTCAGATCGATGCGAAGGGGCAGGCGGTCTTCTGAGACGCGGGCTGCCTTCCTAGAGTACTGTTTCCCTCGACCTGCCCCCCGTGGCGCGCCGCCGGGGAGGGGACATTTCCTGTCGCATGGTGGCATGAGGTGAAAGTGTCCTGAAGCAGCGGGTGCTGGAGACCCTGGGCACTTTCCAAGACCAACTCTTCATTTCCCGAGTCTTTTTCTGACGGCCCCGGGGGGTCCAAGGGACGGCCCTGGAGGCCGAGAAGGGAAACAAGCTCTCCAGGACCCGTTCCCCTCTCTTCTTGGTGATCATGATGTTCGGACTTATTTTTGCAATCTGCCTCGCGGAAGTCAGCTGAACCCGCCGGCACGTTGCGCTGCCAGGCGACGGGAGCGATGGGCCACTTTTGCTCTTCCCCTCTCCCTCCCCCTTCCTCCTTCGCAGCTCCTGGTCCTTGTCCTCAACCTCTTTTGCCAGCTTCAGCTCCTCCCCCTCGTCCTCCTCCTCGTCCCTCCTCTCCTTTTTCCTCCTCCTCCTCCCCCTCCTCCTTCCCCCTCCTCCTCCTTCTCCTCTTCCTCCTCTTCCTCCTCCTCCTCCTCCTCGTCCCTCATCTCGTTGGCCGAGTGCCAACCGCGGACGTGGCGGACCTGCTAGCTCTCAAGGAAATCCTCTGAGCTTTGTCCGTGTCTGACACCGCCCTTTGTGCACCACTGGGGCAGGCTCAGCCCGCTCCCGACTCGCGCAGGACCGCTACGTCCTCGCGGTAACCTGCGTTGCTGCGGAGTTGCCGGGCCGTGGCTTTGTGCAATGCCACGGACAGCTTCGCCCGTCAGCGTTGGCAAAAGCCGCTGCAGATCGCCTCGGCCCTCAGCTGCGCCTGGTCGCGCGCCAGCTGGTCGAGGTGGCGCAAGGCGGCCTTGCCGTGCCGTCCTCCTGTCAAGGGCCGCCCGAGGGAACACTGGCCAAGGACAGCGGCCTTCTGGGTACCGATGCCGCTTGTCGGCCTCTGCTGCGGCCGCCACGGCGCCGTCACGGCCGGCAGTTGCGGTCGGGCCCTCGTCGTCTCCCAGCACAGCGGGCCGGACTGTCACATCTATGGGAGCCGCGGAAAACAGACACGCTGCGCCTCTACATCGAGGGTGGCTTCCTCTTCTTTGTCGGAAGCGACTGCCGCAGGTGCCAGCGGGCTGCTGGTGGATCGTGCCCCGAGCGTCGCAGATCAGGCAGCGCCACTTCCACGGATGCCAGCTGGGGATCGGAACTTGCCGAGCCGTGTGGTAGCCGCACTCGTTGTGAATGCGCTGCCGCGCGTCCTCGGCGTCCCTGCTGCGCGACTTTACGAAAACCGCAACAGGAACATCGGAAAGCGTGGTGTGCTTAGTCGCAGAGGCGCTCCCCGTAGACCTGGCCTGCGCAAGGGCCCGCGCGGCTGCGGCCAGCGCAGAGAGCATGGAGCGGCGCCAAGTCTTGGCCTGCAAGCTCGCGTGCTGTCAGGCAGAACTCTGTCTGCGTCGCTCAGTCGCTGCCCCGCCGCCCCTGGCGCGGCCTGCTGCCAGGCGGCTTCGTGCGGTCAGCCGCAGGTGCTCTGTCTCGCCTTCTCCTCGCTTGTGCTAGCGCTCCGCAAGGCCGAACAATTTTTGCTGCTCAAGACTTCACGTGAGCGTCGTCCTCCTCTCCCAGTCCGCCGCCCGACGGCCCGACACCTGCCTGCGGTTGCGGCTGCGGCGGGAGGCGGGCGGCCCAGCAAGCACCGGCCAGGGGCTGCTCGGATTGCTCCAAATCGTCGGGCGCCGCCAAGCCGGTGCTGGCCCGTACCTCCGCGAGGCTCTGTGCCCAGGAGCCCGCCCAGGCTGCCTGCGTTAGCTGCTCCCGCAGAGGCCTCGGTCGCCGAGGCGCAAGGGAAGCCTGCGCTGCGCTCGCTGCGGCTTCGTGAGCGCATCGAGCCAGTGCAGTCGCCAGTGAGCAGCGAGGAGCGCCTCGTCGTATTTGGCCGCGGCGGCCGCCGTACTTGTCGGCGGCGTGGTCCGTGGCAGGTGCGTGAGCTTGCCTGTGAGGCAGTGGCGCAAGAGCAGCGCTGCCGCCTATCTCGCGGGCGAATGCGGCGAGGTCTCCTCGGGCAAGCCCGCCACTTTCTCGATGGGGGCAGTCGCGCACCGCGCCGCGCCGGCGCTGTGGTCCGCGGCGTGGCCCGTCGTCCCCAAGGCTGCCCGGCGCTCGTCTCCCGCTTCTATTATGTCGCCTGGCGGCGGCGCGGCCAGCGGTGCGCCCGTCAGCGCGACGCCCTGCGGGCGCCAGTGACTGGGGTTTGTCGATACAATCTGGCTCGCAACCAGAAGGCAAACTCCCGCGAGCGCCCGCTGAAATTTCCACGAGCAAGGGGATCTTGCACCGCGTGATTTCCGGGCGGGCAGTCCCAGGCAGGCAGTGCATGCAAATGTGCATGATAGCAGGCAGCGCCAACACGCTGGAGACCCCACCAGACATAACTGAGCAGCGACGCCCACAGCAGCCCGAACCAATTCAAACCGTAGTTCATGTCGACCGCCAAGTCACGCAAATCTTGTGGAAACCCTAGCGCATGCCCGGAAACATCGCATGCCCGTCGACACCAAAGAAAACGACGTAAAAGGTCAACAATCCACAAACTCGTCGACACCGAAGAAAACGACGGAAACATCGCATACCCGTCGACACAGATCAGCGAAACGAGAGAGTCAGCGTCGGAAAACAGCTCGAACCAAAACTCGAACCAAACAGGATCGACCAGCTGCTCAGATTCATGGGGACCAGCTTCACAGCAGACGGCGACAAGAGGGAGTACTCGCCGTTTCCAACCAGGCAACGACGAGAACGTGGTGCGATATATTGAAGCAAGCCAAACAGACAACGCAGTACTCTAAATGCAAACCATAAGACGCACGCTACCCAACAAACATAATTTTGGCAGGTGACCGCAAAAAGACGACCACCATCTGTAATGTCCAAGGCTGTGTACTCGATGTTGTACTCTAGCCGCGTACCGTGCGCCGCGACAGGCAGTCTGCGTGGCCGTCACGCAGGACGGATGTCAATCAGCAACAAATTCATGTTGTACGGTGGGCGCAGCGCCCGTCATGCGTCAGGTCTCGCGGACACGATCGTGGCCAGCCCGACTGAGGCCAGGGAGGCGCCGTCACGCCGCCACAGCTGCATTCACATCCGGCATGCTTTGCTTCCAAAGCGGCGTGGCGCCCTGCGGGTGCCAGTAGCTCTAGAAGACCAGGGGGGCAGGCCGAACCCGCGGCGGACCAGGCCTGCGTTTTAGCGGGCTTCAGCTCCAAGCTGGGGGCCCCCAGGAACCGCTCGGCGGTGGGCAGCACCTGGGCCGCCAGAGCGGCTGGAACCAGCACGGCGGTATCGTCCAGGTAAGCGAGGACTCGCACGTCCTCGGCCTGCAGCCCCGCGTGCTCTGCCGCCGCCCTTTGCTCCTCCGCCAGCCAGCGCAGCTCTGGCTTTGCGCCGCAAGCGTAGAGGAGCGCCGCCATTGGGTTCCCTTGGTCAACACCGCTCGTGGCTGTAATGCGCCGGCAATGGCTGCGGCCGTCCCAGTAGAGGTACTGGGAGGTGCGCCGGCAGAAGTCTCTGCAAAGGGGAGGAGCTCTGGCGCCTCGGCTTCCAGCCCAGCGAGGCGAGCGGCGCGGTCTACAGAACCGTGCGTGTTTTTGGCGTCCATAAGCATCAGGTCTGGGCGGGTCTCGGCGAGCGTGCGCGCGCCGTGTGCGCCAGGAACTCCGTTCCGGCCGCCGTGCCAGCAGCATACTGTCTGCCCAAGCTCGCGGCGAGCTCCGCCATCCGCGGCTGCAATAGCGTGCGCCCAACTGCCGTCGGAGGACACTCGGCGCCGCGATGGGCCGAACGCCGCCTGCGCGCTTCGGGAGCGGCGTGAGGCGGGATAGCGCCTGCGCCGCTGCTGCGCTCTCAAGAGTTCGGCCTTGCGCGATACGCCGCAAACCGAGTCCAAGGCGCCTGGGTCGGCGAGGACTGCTCGCCAGTGCTCGTAGCGCCCCCCGCCGGCAGCCGCCCCGCTGCCTCTGGGCCTCGAGCGGAAGGCCCGCTTGAGCGCTTGGTGGCTCGGCGGCGGCGGCCCAGAGTCCCGCGCGGTCGGCGCCAGCGGGTCAGCTGGCCTTCGCTGGAGCAGCGCCTGCAGCTTGTCCCCGGCCTTTGCCGTGAGTGGCGCAAGGACTCGAGAGCAGCGCGGCCGCTGTGGAGTACTCCTCTTGGGGCGTCTTGCGGATCGCCTCGTCCCTCTCGCCTTCGTCCCCGGCGCCTGCGGGCGAGGTGGCGCCGCCTGCCCGTCTGCCTCCCGCAGGAGCTGCTCCCAAGCGCCGCTGTGGAGGCGGGCGCAGCGCTCGCGGACCAGCCGTACCTGATCCTGCGCGTAGCTGTCCGGCGGCCGCCGCTGCCTCCCTCCCCGCGCGCGCTCTAGCGCCGCGAAGAGGAGCCGCTCGCGGAGGAGGAGCAGCTTCCAAGCCCTTTCCGCCTCCGCGCTGCCAAGCGCTGCTATCCTCCTCGTCGCTCCTGCTGCTCGTCCTCCTTCCGCGCCACTCCTCTTCCTCCTCCTTCCGCACCCCTCCTCATCCTCCTCCTCCTTTTCCTCCTCCTCCTCCTCCCTCCTCCTCCTCCTCCTCCTCTTCCTCCTCCTCCTCCTCCTTCCTCTCCTCCTCCTCCTCCTCCTCCTCCTCCTCCTCCTCCTCCTCCCTCGCCTCGCCCTTCCCCCACCCCGCTGCCCCATTCTCCTGCTGCTGAAGCTCCTGCTCCTCGCCCTCCTGCTCGCCGCCCCCTGCCTGGCCTGCAGTGGCTCTTATATATCCTTCGGCGGCGCGTGGCGCGGCGGCCAGGCCGCCTCGGCCGATGCGGCTGGAGCTCTGAAGCCAACGCCCGCGCGCGCGCGCGGTCGCAGAAGCTCAGGGCGCCTCATCGCCGCGAGGAGCTCGCTCACGCCTTCAGCGGCGGCGCGAGCACGGCAAGTTCGTGTGGTGACCACTCCAGCTCTGGTTTCCACGCCGCGCGCATCGCTCAACCTTAAGCGATCTCGGCGTTGCGGTATCGCGGATCGTTCGAGATTGGCCGATTCTGGGCCACCAACGGCATTCAACCTTGATTCCCCGCGCTGGGGTCGCCGCCGCCGCGTCGACACGACACGAGCTCACCGCGGGCCGAGGCCGTCAGACTTCGCACCCTCGCACCCGCGCGATGCGCGGCTTCTCGGTACTCCTTCGCGCCTCCTCGGGCCGCACCCGCTGGAGAGGGGGGCAGCTCTGCGGCCCATGCCACGAAGCGTCAGGCGCGGCTACACCTTCGCACGCCACCGGGCAGCCCTGGGCACCACGGGGGGCAGGACGAGGGGTGCCTCCGCCTGACGAGGCAAATGGGGGGCTCCCGAGGAAGGCCCGGCCCCGCTGAGAGGCCTCTGGCAAGGGCTCCAGGAAGCCCGGCTTTCCGCAAGGCGTTTCGGAGGCCTCTTCGCCTCTTCGACGCCCGCGTCCCTCGCCCTGCCCGTCTTCGCGCACCGCCGGCCTTGAGCGGCGCCCACTTCCGGAAGTCCTCGCCCCACTCCTCCTCGTACCTGCCCATGCTGGGCCTCGTGAAGTGGTCGTAGTGGAGCCGCTCGATCCCAGAGATCTTGGAATGCTGGAGTCCGAAGGCCGCCCGGAGTGCCGTGAGCATGTGCTCCCTCTCGAGGCTGTCCACGAGAGGGGGCGGGAAGATCTCCGAGGTGAAATTTCGCGCGTAGTGGTCCTTCGCCCTGCCCGGGATGCCCACGGAGACCGCAGCCGCCATCACCGAGGGGTTCCACTTGAACACGGAGAAGACCGGCAGCCCAGTCCTCAACCCCATCTCGAGCCCCCGAATGCCCTCCGCGTTGGAGAAGTATGGCGCTGGACTGGCCGCCATGCGGGCCCGCATGGAATCGGTCATGGTCGACGCCATGCCCACCTCTCCCCAGGCGCCCCACTGGATCGCCGTCGCAGGCTTTCCCATTGCAACTCGGTGCTGGCACAAGGCGTTCAAGAATGCGTTGGATCCAGAGTAGTTGGTCTGGCCCATGGCACCCCACACTGCGATCGATGAGAACATCCAGAAGAATGACAGCTTGTTCTGGAACCGCTCCAGGGCACTGTGCCAATACAGAGCGGCACGGTGCTTCGGATCAAACACGGTCTCGCATTTCTCCCACGTGAGGTTCGCGATCATGGAATCCGCCAGTACGCCAGCAGAATGGATTATGCCCGCGAGATTGGGGCCGATCGACTGCATGTACCTATCCACGGCTTCCTGAGAACTAAAATCACCTTTGGCCTGGACAACGTCAACTCCCAGGATGGCCGCCTGTTCTTGGATCAGATCCCACCGGGGCAAGTTCGTGTCAGCGATCTTCGCAGAGCGGGAGAGGAACTGGATTGCAAGTCCCTTGCCTACACCTTGCTCCTTGCACTTCTTCATCAACCACTCGCCCATGACAAGACCGAGGGCCCCGTTGCCGCCAGTAATTGCTATGATGCCTTCCTTGGGAACGATGAAATCGCACTCAGCTTTCTCGTACGCCGTGCTTGCCAGCTGACGCAATACGAATCGCCCCTTATTCAAGATCCGCACCGTGTCGTGGCCAAACGTCTGAAGACGGAAAAGCTCTGTGGCCAAACGTGGAAACAACTTATACTTATCATTCTCTGGAGTCGTTGCAAGCGACGGCTCTGCATCGACGAAATGCAACGTGGTCTCCTCGAGCTCTATCCGCACACTATTCGTCATGCCAAACAGGATCGACGATGTTATCATGCCCAGACCATACTGCTTGTGATCTACAGGACTGTCGGAGAACGCTCCGGCGGTGAGTATCGCAACCCTCTTGACCTTCTCGGTCTTCTCAACGGCCCTGATCAAGAGGAGGTAGAGGTGGGTGATCACGCTCTGATGATCTATGACGTTCTGGACGTGGCTGCTGGGTGGGGGCTCCAGGCTGGCACCGAAGACCACCATGTCCCACTTGTCTGCCTGACCATTGATCAAGCCGTGGAGCTCACTCTCCGTCATGGACTCCCACACCTGCCTCTCCACCACCCTCCTCGTCCCGATCCGCCCGTCGGGGGCTGCTGCCAGGATCCTCTTGGTGCAGCCCCTGCTGTCGGCGAAGACGAGGACGCTCTCCCTGGGCGGGTGAGGCGGGTCAGGGAACCGCGCCTGCTGCGCGGAGCTGGGCTTCACGAGAGCCTCGAGCGTCTTCGGCACCTGGATGTCCTCGTTGTACCAGGCCTCGAGGATCCTGTCCAGCCCGTCGCCTGCCCTGTTCTCCAAGGGGAGGTCCTCTTTGAACCACTCCACCGGGTAGCACATGTGCCCCTCCGCTGCAGCTGCCGCTTCGCTGACGATCTTCTCGTACTGCTGCAGCGCCATGACTCTCCCAATCAGCTCCCTTGCGCGGCGGGGCCGCGGAGCAGCGGGGTCCAGCCTGACCCTCGGAGTGGCTGCGACCCGATACGCACCAATGTCCAGCCCAGAGGCGCCTCCTCCCCACCCCGCTCAATGATGGGGAGCGTTGGGAGGGAACCGGCTCGGGAGGGAAACATCGAAGTGGAATCGGCCATGTATCGCCGACAGTTCGGCGATATACGACCCCGGTGCCGAATCCGCATGCTCCTGGGCGGAGCGGGCTATAAGACCCCTGTCGGCGATTATTCGACGATTGGGGGCCGACGCGTTCCCCAAAGGCCTATCCCACACTACCGTTGAGGCAACCACATGGGAACCCTACCCCTGCAGGTCAGATTTCTGAAACAACAAGCGGGGGGTCAGAATTTGAAGGGTGTCTGCAACCAAGGGAACCCCAGCGGGGATTTCCGATACCCCAGCGTCAGGTGGACCCGTAGGGGTAGGGTCCGCAAGGGGTCGCAGATCCTTGCCCCCGAGGGGCCCCTCCCTCAAGCAAGGGCGAGCGCCGAGAAGCCCGCCCAACGCCAGCCCGCAACCGACGACACGGCGTCGCCGCGACAGGGCTGCCGCCGACGGCGGCGACGAGGCATGAGGAGGAGAAGGAGGAGGAGAAGGAGGAGGAGGAGGGAGGAGGAGGAGGAGGAGGAGGAGGAGGAGGAGGAGGAGGAGGAGGAGGAGGAGGAGGAGGAGGAGGAGGAGGAGGAGGAGGAAGGAGGAGGAGGAGGAGGGAGAGGAGGAGGGAGGAGAGGAGGAGGAGGAGGGAGGAGGAGGAGGGAGGAGGAGGAGGACGAGGAGGAGGAGGAGGAGGGGGAGGGGGAGGAGGGGGAGGGGGAGGAAAGGAACAAGGAACGACCGCGCGTCCACGGGATCGCGTCCTCCAGGCCGCGAGGAATCGCGGATGCGGGCGCGCTGCTCGCCGCGCGCGCGGAGGAGGCGTGCGAAGGCTCAGGGCAGCAGCAGGGGCTCGGCCACGGCGGCGAGCGCCTCGCCGCCCGCGCCCGTGAGGGCCTCGGCGGCGGTCGCGGCGTACTCCTCCGCGGCCCGCTCCGCCAGCTGCCCGCAGCCCGCGTCGATGTCGATGCCGCGGCGGACGCGTACTGTTGCCTCCACACCGTACCTTCGGGTCGGGCATGTCCCCCGACAGACGGATTTTGCACGAAAACTGAAAAGCCGTCAACGCATATTCAACACATGCTCAACCATACTAAAATAATCGCCCCTGTATTTTTAAACTTTTGAATCTCCCCCTTAAACTTTTGAATCTCCCCCCTGTGGAGGGACAAGCCCGACTTACACCGTGCCTGCGGGGCACCCTGCGTCGGCGGCACGCCCCAGGGGAGCGACGAAGGGGGACGGGTCTCTCCCGCAGGATGACGTGCAGTGCACGCGTGGGGGAAGGATCCGCGATGAGGATGCAAAAGGGCCCTGGAAGCCCATGTCGGCACTTTTCGAGCGTGGCGCGGCCAGCGAAAGTCACTGCTTCGACCTTGCAGACGTGCTGCAGCGGATGTATGCGTGGATCCTGGTCAATGCAAAACCCGAAACGGCGAGTGAAACACCACGTGAATTTCGCGTGGATTTTAAATCTTCAGTCCTGGCCCAGAAAATCCGCACGAAATTCACTTCGAAATACATTCTCTTGGGCACTCCAAGCCCACCCTATTGTTTTCCGAGCGAAATCCGCTCTGCGATGTTGGCGCCATGACGACAGCGGCCAAGGATGGGCCGAAGGGGGAGGATGCAAGGGATAGCCTTGGAACGTCGCTCGACCTTCTTGTCCGCGGTGACGTAGCGACCAGACGCGGTGGCACATGCGGGCCGCCAGCGCGGCACGCTGCACTGGAAAGGAGGGCGCTTGCGCGCGACCTTACGCGCGGGAAGCCTGCGCGCGAATGTCTGCGCTGTCGACTCCGTTGCTCTGCGTCGCTCAGGGGCGAGGGCAGATGGGGGCGGGCCTTCTCAGAAGGCTTAGGTCGGGCATGTCCTCCTACAGGCGGATTTTGGATGACAAATCAGAAATAATCAGACAAATATTCAAACATGGTCAGAACTAGTAGACAAATCGTCCCCAGACTATTTCCTAAAACTTTTGGCATATTCCTCCTGGGGAGGGACAGGCCCGACTGAACAGAGGGTTCAGAAGACCACGGGCCTTTTGAGGAGCTTCCAGAGCCCTCTCCGAGGCCACAGCGGGGGCTTCTCGGGAGGCCCGATGGCCTCTGAGAAGCCCCGCCGCCTTTCGTTTCGAGAAGGTCTGCCCCCCCCTCTCTCGCTTTCCCCCTCGGCACGCCGCCGAGATATCGGGGGACTGGCTCGGGGGGAGGGCCGGGGAGGCGTAAGACTCGGGCGCAGGGGGACTCGGGTTGGCCTTTGGCGCGAGCTCCCGCTGCAGCCATCCCACACAAGCTGGATCGTCAGAATCCAGGGCGCGCTCTTGAAAAAGCGTTGGCAAACCCGAGTTCCGGCTTACTCGAGTCTTGCGTTTCCCCGAGAGAGCGGGGACGTCGAGCTGGAATCGTCGATGCATCGCCGACTGATCGACGATGTGCCCCCGATGGTGAGTCCGCCCGCTCTTGGGCGGGCTGGGCTGGTGGGCTCCTCTCGGCGATCGCTAGGCGACTTGAGCGTCGATCGAGAACGGGTCCGCGAGAAGACGTGGCGACCTTCCGCTCAAGTCGGGCATGTCCCCCGACAGGGGGATTTTGGATAACAAGTACAACATACCCCCAAAATGCTCCTTCCTGTAGAGGGACGTGCCCGACTTCACCTTACGCCGCAGCTGGCGCGGGCCGCCAGCGCAGCACGCTTCTCTGGAATCGAGGGCGCCTGCGCGCGACCTTGCGCGGGCAGCTTACGTGCCAGTGTCGGCGCAGACGACCCCGTTCTCTTGCGTCGCTCAGGAGGGGCCGTGGCCGCCCCCCCCCCCCCCCGAATCAGTCCCCCCTGGCCTTCGGGTCATAACTCGGGTCTCTGGCCGTTCTGGCCCATCCCGGCACCCCCGGAAGGCTCCCTCTCTCGGTGAGGCGCAGCTGCTGGAACACACCCTGAGGCTGGAAGACCGCCGGAAACCGAAGACCTTTTTCGGGGGCGCGCAAACATGGATTAGCGATCCATGGATTTGGCGCGCGGTCGCCAAATCCATGGATCGGGGGAGGTGCCCTCCCCAAAATGCGGCCAGTGGCGCCTCGTTCGGCGGCGGAAATCCGCGATTCCCCATGGAAGTGGGACCCGTCGCTAATCCACGCCCCCTGAATCCATGATTGCGATCGCCTGACTATTTGAACCTCGATTTCGAGAAAGTCGTCCCCCCCCGATCCTATCCCCGAAAAATAACAGAAACATGCCCCCAGATGCTCAAACATACTGAAAAACAAATCGTCCCCAGACTATGTCTTGACAATTTCCGAATTTCCCCCCTGTAGAGGGACAGGCCCGGCTTAACCCTGATCCTGTGGATGCCACGACAATGGACACCCTAACGGTCCTATCCTTGAATTAAAAATGTGTTTAAAATGTCGGAAACATGTTCTAAATCTGTTTTTAATGTTTAAAACACGTTTACCACATGTTCTAGACATCTGGACATTATTTGGCAACATGCTTCCTCTCCATTGATCGTCCTCCACAGCCCTGATCCTATCCCCCCATCTTTGCTGCTGAGTGCCTCGCGACGACGTCGACGAAGCGGCGGCTGGCCTGGAACTGCGTGGCGCGGCCGTCCTCGAAGCCCTGGGCACCCGGGCTCGGATGGCATCGCATCGGGACAGCGGCTCGGATGGGCGCGTGCGTCGGATCGAGACCCGTCGGCACGGAGTCGGAATCGAATCGGATCGGCTGCGCTGGGATTAGGTCGGGCACGTCCTCCTACAGGCGGGTCGTGGACGAAAACTCCCAAAGAGTGAACAAACATATTCAAACATTGCCGAATATAACTAAAACATAGTCCCCGGAGTGTTTTTTTAACTCTACTCTTCTTGCGCATTGCTCCTGTAGAGGGACAGGCCCGACTTAACGCTGGGATGCGAAGCAACACCATGCAGGCATCGGGCCGCATCAGATCGATGGGAATCGACTACACGTAAGAATGACCCTGCGGTGCGACGGATGCGGCCGGTGTGCTTGGTCTTGACCCCGCAACGTCCCCCCGAAAGCTGTGCCCCAAACGTCACTCTGGTGAGTCGCCACTCTTGCATGCAGCCGGAGGGTGCCGGAACCGAATCGGATGGAGCCGGCCAGAGCCGATGTCGGCCGGCCAGATCGAGGTGGGCCCTGCCTTGGTCGGGTTCAAGGGGATCAAGTTCAGATGCGAGCCGCTGGGCGCCTTCTCCGCCAGCAGCCTCCCCAGCCGGTCCGCGGTCGCCTCGTCATCGTTGGTGCCCTCGATGAGCGTCCACTCGAAGCTCACCCTCCTTGGAAGAATGAAGAGCTGAATCGACAGAATACGGTGAGGGCATTGGACAAGGAAACCTGAAATAAGGAACCCAATGGATTTGGATGCAAGTTGAATACCAATTGATACATGGTCATGGATATCACCACCCTCATCAGGTGGGGCATCCTCCAGGGTATGAAAGCTCATGGGCGCATTCCTCATCGAACACCCCCACTGTACTTTCGTGCTGCCATAGAGGAACGCAGACTAAGAGGAAAGAAAAGGCTTCTCTAGCTACGGCAGGCCCAGGCCACAAACAGGCTACACGACACACGCACAAATCTCAAGTGCACGGCTTCCCCCGGGGCCGTAGGCGACCCGAGGAGGAGGAGGAGGAGGAGAAGGAGGAGGAGGAGGTGGAGGAGGAGGACGAGGAGGAGGAGGAGGAGGAGGAGGAGGAGGAGGAGGAGGGGGAGGAGGAGGAGGAGGTGGTGGAGGGGGAGTGCAGGAGCGTGTGGGCGCCGTCCGTCTCGCGAACAGCGCTCCGCGGGCCCTCAAAAAAGGGCGAAGTAGAGGCAGAACGACACCACGCCGTTTCGCCGCCTGCGCCTCGGCGCCGCTCGCCCAAGGCGGGGTGGGCCGCGCCGCAGCCGTGGGAACCGCCACCTAGCTCTCCTCGCTGTTGAGCGGGGGCGAGGGGTTCGGCGGCGGCAGCGAGAAGGTCTGCGGGATGGACCCCGCCACCTCCTCTTCGCTGCTGGGAATTTCAGCGCCCGCGGGCGCCCTCGCCGCTGCGCCAGCGGCGCAAGGCTGGCCCGCGGCCGCGTCCCCCGCAAGGTCGCCGTCCCGCTGGCCGCTGGAACCCGAGCCCGCGGCGGCCGCGCCAGTGCCCTGCGCCCGTGGCCGCCTGCGCTCGCCAGGCGCCCAACCGATCCTCGGCGCGCCAGGGCCTCGCCCAGGGTCGGCCAGCCACCGATGGAGGACCCTGCTCGTAACTCCGCTTGGAATCGGCCATCAATGCCTGGGAGAACGACGGGCCGCGGCGGCACCGCATGAACGCCATGCGGGTGACCCCGCCGCGCGCCCATGCCCTGTCGCACATCTCGCGGGCCAGCTGCCTCGCGGTGCGACCCATGACGCGCGCGAGCGCACGCCGCCTCGGCTGGCCAAGGACGGCCTCGACGTACGGCACGCAGTGCTGCCTCCAATCGTCCGCCAGCTGAGCCTCCGTGAGGGTGGCCTCCATCCACCAGCGCGCCCACCTTGCGAACCTCCGCGCCGTGGCAGTGGGCCTGGGAGGACCCAGTGGCAGCAGCTCCCTGGGCTGCCTCTTGGTCACCACCACGGCGGGCCTGCGGCTCCAGATGGCGAAGCGCGCCGCAGGCCAAGGCCTCGGCCTGCCCTGCAGCTGGAGCTCCTCGCAGCGCGCGGTCTGGACGGGCGTGTCGCGGCTGGCCTCGCGCTCCTCGGTGCGCTGCCGCAGCTGCGCGAGGCGCGCCTGCCAAGGTTGGCCGCGAGGCTGCTCCGTTGCCGCTCGCGCGGCTGCCGCCGCCAGCTGCCTGCTGGCCTCGCACGCGTGCGCCGAGGCCGACAGCCGAGGCGGCGTCTGTGGCAGCGGGTGCCGGGCGCTAGGTAGCGCCTCCTGCGCCCCCCCCCCCCCCGCCGCTCAACAACGTCCACGGCCCCCGCGGCGCCGTCCAGCTCCTGCGGCCCGCCGACCGCGCTGCCGCTGCCGCCAGACTCGCTGTCGGTCGACACGTCCTCGGTCCCCGCCGCAGGGCCGCCTGCGCCCCCGAACGGCCTGCCAGTCTTGGGATGCATCGTCCTCGCAGGTGCAGGCGTAGTGGTCCCTACTCCGCGGCGGGCCCTGGGTCGCTACACGCCACGAGCGGCACGCGTCTGCAAACATGCCACGCGCACCTCGCAAAAGACTGTGGGCCCAACACGCCGCAGCTGATGGCCCTCGTGAGCCAACATATTCCCCTCGGCGTCGTGCAACGGGTTGCCGCTCTCCAGCGGCGGGCCGTCTCTGTCGCCCTCGGCCTCCCGCGGCGCAGCGGCCGCCCGAGCCCCCGCCTCCGAGACCACGCGCGCCTGGGCCCCGAAATGGAGGATCTCGGCTCCTGCCTCGATGCGCGCCAGCCTCGACGGCTCGCATGCCGCCCTGAGGAGCTGCTGCAGCGCCGCGCCAGACCGCGCCCGTGAGCGCCTCTCGCACTCCCTGTAAAGCAGCCCACGACGGCCACCCACGGCGGCCACCACGTGTTCCACCACCGTCACGCGCGGAGCTGGTCCTGCAAGTGGCGGCGGCACCGCCCTCGCATGCTGCTGACACTCGCCGAGCTAGAGGCAGCGCTGCGTGGCCCACCCGAGGTCGGCCGCAACCTTCTTGTGGCGTTGCATCTCGATCTCGTAGACGTCCACGTAGATCTGGGACACGATGTGCTGCATCGCCCCCTGCTTGGCGAACCAGCCCGCCCAAATGTTACCCGCGTAGAATATCGGGTGGAAGCCCAACTCCAGGTAGCCCCGGGCGTCCTTGTGGGCGGGGATCCAGGACGCGTTGGGGCGAGTTGACTGGCGGCGCAAGCGCCTCCGAACCGTGGCGTATGCGGCGCCCGCCTGCTCGAGCTCCTCGCCCCAGGAGCCCGCCTCCCGCGCCAGCGCCAGCAGGTCCGCGGCGAGGAACTCCACCTGCGACTCGAGGAGCTGCACTGCCTGCAGGGGCGCATACCGCTCGGCGCGCCCCGCAGTCTGGAGCGGGCCAGGCAGCGCGCCGAAGGCCGCGCGCACCAGGATCCCATTGGCCCCCCGACAGCGCCAGCGACCACCCGCAGCGCCTGAGCTCGGGCATGCTGCTGGCGAACCCAGAGCCGTCTGTGAGCGCGATGTCCCCGCGCCGCTCCGCCGCTTGCCCTTGCCAGTCGCCGCGCGGCCTGACGTCGGCATTATGCGACGCTTGGGGCACGCGCGGCGGCGCGACTGAACCTCGTGCTCGAAGCCTCCGGAATCTGGCTTGTCCTGCCCCAGCTGCAAGCCCTTCTCTCGCATGCGCGCCCTGACCTCCTGGAGCCTCTCGGGCAAGACAGACTGCTCCTCATCGCCATGCCGCGCCAGGGGCAAAGCCCCGCACCCATAGAGCCTGTGCCCAAGGGTGTCGGCCTCCTCGCCGCAGGCCAGGCACGTCGCCGAGTTCGCCGGGCGCACCTCGTGGAGCCGCTGCCTCGTCCATGGCGTGCCCACCCAGTGAATCCTCAAGCCGGTGGCGGCAGGGCCTTCGGGAAGCCCCGCGCCCTTGTTGCCAGCGCAGAGACGTAGCACTCGGAGCAAGAGTGGCCCTGGCACTCGAAGTGCACCATTATCTGTCGGCCCTGCCAACGGCCCACCCCTGCGAACAAGAAGGCCTTGAGGTCCGACCGCGGTGTCGTGAGTAACTGGGCATGCTGCTCCTCGTCCGTGACCAGTACCGTTCTGTGCCACATGTACCAGCCGATCCTCCATAGCGTGAGAGTCGCGGAGGAAATCTGTCCCTTGAGGCCGACGCCCGCGACGGTCGCTCGACCAACTTCTCCGTGATGATGGCCCACGCCCTCTGCAGCCGTCCCAGGGAGGTGCGCTGCTCCCAGATCCAGCTCGCATGCCTGACCACGAGCGCCATCGTCGCTTCGTAAATTAAGTCGTAAGAAGCGCAGCGCTGGGTAGCCAAATAGATCGTGGACCCCGTAGGGCCTGGGCGCGCACCCACAAGCCGACTGGCCTCGGCCCACTGTCGCCGCAACTCGTCGTCCGTGATCCCCGTGACCCCAGCTCGGTGGCCTGCGCTAGGGAGCAGATGCCGTGCGCCACACGCAGGCCACCTTGCGTCCTGCTGCGCGCTGCAGCGCAGCGAGCCGCCCTCGGCGCCGCGCCAGCGCCTGCAGGCGGAGCCAGGTCTGCCGCCGCTCGATCCTGCGGCCTCCGAGATCGTGGCCCAGGTTCCGCGCCCTGCGCAGGCGCTGCAAGCCCTTCGAGCCCGAGTGCCGCTTGCTGTCGCGCGCGAAGTATGACGAGGACGTCAGGAAACCCGACTTGGCTGGCTGCGCGATGGTGCCCAGCGCCTGGGCCTCATCTCGGGAGTGGGCGACGGCGGCCCACAACGGCTGGATGTTGCGGCCCGCCTCGCCGACCCACTGCAGTGCGTCGTCCACCAGCGCCCTCGGCGCGACCCCCGTGCCGCGGATCCGCTCCAGCAGGCGATGCAGCAGCGCGGGCACCAGAGCGCATGCATGCGCGCATCCCGCCAGTCCCCCCCTGGCCCGAGACCGCGTCGTTGGAGACAGATCCGAGCGCCTGTAACCTCCGCGGCTGGCGGTGCAGTTCGAAGAGGGGCCAGACGAGGGGCAGCGGCATGCGCAGCTGCCGAGCCTCCTGGAGCAGGGCAGCAAGGACCACGGCCCCGAAGAGTTTCCAGGCGCCCATGAGGACCGTGATTACCTGTTCCTGGCGGTTGAGCGCGACCTCCCTCTCCAGGTTCAAGTCGAACGCCGCGTCAGATGATGACTTGCCAGCGCCGAGCCCCCAGCTACTGGGGCGCTGCCGTAGCTAGCCCCTGGGCGCCTCTGCGCGCGCCAGCGGCCACCACAGTCGGCATCCTATGCATGCGCGTGAACAGCTGCGCGCACGCGGACATGCCCTCGTCCGACAGGAAACCGAGGGCCCTCATGCCGATCTTGGCGGGCCCGATGGCGGTGCTGCAAGGGAAGGAGAGTGCCGCCTGCCGCAGCTGCTCAACCGTGAGCTCGGGCAAAGTCTCCCACTCGCCGATGTCCACTGGCCTGCTCATCGGCCGCAGCCCATGGCGCTGCCGCACCTTCTCCCGCGGCTTCATATCGCTGTCGCACGCGCAGTGGGGGCTTGCCTCCTGCTGCTCGCCATGCCAGGCGGAGACGATCTCTTGCAAGTCCCTCGCCGTGGACCCGCGGCGTGCCTGGCGCGCGCCGCGGCTGAAGGCGTCGTTCGCCCACTTCATCCATGCCTGCTGCTGCCGCTTGAGCGCCGCCTAGTGCTGGCTGTTGGTGTTCTCCACGACGCGGGAAGCCTGCTCCACGAAGCCCTCCGAATTGGGGACGAGCAGCTGCTGCTGGAAGAAGTCTTGAATCCAGTGCGGCAGCAGGGCGAGCGCGCGGCGGTGCTGCCCTGCGATCTTCCGCATGTAGGTGCCCGCCTCGAGCAAGAACGCCGCCAACTTGTCATGCTGTCTCGCGTCGAGTGCGCGCGGCATGTCGGCCCCGTGGAGTTGACGGGGCGCTTTGGCGACGCGCGCCCCGGCCCCCATCGCGTGGTGAGCCCGCCTCGACGCGGCGCGACGCGTCATCGCGCGCCGCCCAAGCTGGGTTCGGCGACGAGGGGGTCTCCGCGCGACGGCGACGAGGATCGTCTCCAGAGAACCTGATCTGCCGTCGTGCTTGGCCCTGTCCGCCCCACGTGGTCGTTGCGGTGCAGCAGCTCCGGTTCAATTGCTTCAACCGCCGCGTCCCAGGCCACAGGCAGCTGCGCGTGCTCGCGACCGCGCGCACCTAGGTCGGCGGCCGCCGCCAGTCCTCCACCCCGCGGCTGCAGCCGATAGGCGGGGCGGGCCCGGTGGGCCTCGGACCTCCCGCCGCGCGGGCCCTCGCATGGAAGTCCCAGGCTTGCGCCGTGACCGCTGCAGGGAGGTGCGGTGCCGCGACGCCCTCTTCGAACGCTTGCCCAACCGCGGCGCCAAGTTGGCTGCGTGCAGGAAGTAGTCGATGGTGGACCACGCGCTGACCCGTGGCCTGTAGGTAGCCGTGTCGGGCGCCGCCCACAGCCCTCGCACGTCGTGGGCCAGCTGCATGGGGAATGTCTGCGCCGACATGTTGAAGTCGCCGCTCGCGACCCTGTCCAGCCCCGCCGCGTAGAGCCTGGCCAGGCAGCGCACGAGGACCATCTCGAACTGCTGGTTCTCCTCGTTCCAGCCGGCGCCGTCGTGCAAGTACGCCGAGATCGCGACCGGGTCCCCTGCGACGCCCCAGTGCACGTGGGCCGCCACCAGGCGCGCCTCAGCCAGGACAGGGCTGTCCAGGAAAAGAGGGCTGGTGACGACGACGTGGATCCGCGCCAAGACCGCCGCCCCGCCAGAGGCGCCGTCGCTCCCGTGGGCGCCTGCGGCGGCTGCGGCCCGCGCGCCCGCGTGGCCGCGGTCCAGCGCGGCGCGCTGCAATGTGGCCAGCCTGTCGTGGCCCCTGGCGTGGCGCACCTGGGCCAGCAACGCCGCGGCGTCGGAGCGCTGTCGCAGCCCGTCCACACATGGCGCCAACGAGCCGCCCGCCGTGATAGTCAAGGTAACGAAGCTGCCATTCGTCATAGTCGGGGACCACGCGCTGAGGACCAGCGGCGCCTTGATGATGCTGGAAGCCGCCGCGAGACACCGCGGTGCAGCGGGCTCGCACAGCCTCCTCGTCGCCCTCGTGCTCCAGTCCGACCTTCTGCAGGTGCTGCTAGAGCTGCTCCGGGGACTCCTGGTGGGGCTGCCACGGCCTCGCATCCTCCGCGCCAGCAGCCGCTGCTGCCGACTGCTAGGCGGCGGCGACGGCAGGCGATGGGCTGCCGCCTGCACTGCCGTTCGCGGCCCCGTGCTCCTCGCCCTCGGCCGCTTCGGCGGCAGGCTCCGCTCGCCGTGCTTGGAGACATGGAGCTCGGCGATCCGCTGGCCCAGCACACCTGCCATCCGCTTCTGAGCCTCTGCTGGGACAGGCTGCTCGTCGTCAGGGTGCTCGGCCAGCTGCGCCCGCATGATGGCCTCCAGCTCCCTGACCGTGATGCCAAGCCCGCCGATGACGTCCGACGCCATGGCCTGGCCAGCCGCGCGGGGAGGAGGCATCTGCGGGGCCTGCTGCTGGAGCGTAGCCAGCTCCGCCTGCAGCGCCGCCTGCTGCGCGAGCTCGGCGTGGGCCTGCTCCGTGCGCTGCACCTCCTCCTGCGCCCTCTGGAACGCTCCCTTGGCCTTGTGCACCGCGCCGTCCGCCTTGTCCAGCCGCTCGGCGCACTGCTTGCCCTTGTTGGCGATGGCGTGCGTCCTGGCGTGGAGCGGCTTGTTGGTGAGCATCTTGGCCTTCGCCTTCTCGAACCTGGCTCGCAACTCGTCGCGCGGCGCCTTGGTCCAGTCCGCGGCCGCACCCTTGAGCGCATGGAGGCTCGCCTCTTACTCTTTGACCTCGGCGGCCAGGGCCGCGTCGTCCGCGCCGGCGGCGGTGCCGTCGTCGACCACCATGTCCTGGGCCCCCGCGAACTGCGGGCCCTCGCCGCCAGCGCCGCTGGCGACCTTGAGTTGCTGGTCCTGGAGCTCCCGCTGCGCCTGCGCCAGAGTCACCGCGAGCGGAGACCCTCCAGCCCATGGCGGGGCCTTGCCGCTCGCCGCCGCAGGCTGCCGCGCCGCCTTGCCAGGCAGGGGCGGTGGCACATTCGCCCCGAAGCACGCGTGCTTGGGCAGCCTGCACGCCTGGCACTTGAGCGCCGTCCCCCAGTTGACCACCGCACGCCCACGCTTGATGACGCAGGTCTTGCAGGTCCAGTCCTGGCGCACGGCACCTTTGGCGCGCGACCTACCGCCCGCCATCTGGTGGCCATCGGGGAGGCCGAGACGATATGGAATCGGGCGGAAGCTCGCCCCTGTGGATGCTGCAAGAACGCGGATACGCTGGATGGGAGCCTGCCCCACTGAGGCAGTGATGGAAGCGCCATTTGGCCTTGAGCCCACATGGCTACGGAGTGGAGGAGGGGGAGGGGGAGGGGGCAAGCTAGGTGCGCTCGCGTCATATCTGACGTCCTACCCCTCCCTCCCATCCCTTACCATGGCGCTGATTTTCTCTATCCGCGGACGCGTGTCGTAGCGGACCTGTGGCTCCGCGCGCGCGTGCGTAGTGGGTGGTGGTGCGCGTGCGTGCGTGCGTGCGTGTGTGCGTGGTTGTGTGGTGGTGGTGGTGCTGGTGGTGGTGGTGGTGGTGGTGTGCTGGTGGTGGTGTGGTGGTGGTGGTGGTGGTGGTGGTGGTGGTGGTGGTGGTGGTGGTGCGGCGCGGTGGTGGCGGGCGGATGGGCGCGCGAGAAAGAGGCCCGCGCTGGGGCGAGAACGCAATCCTGAACGACGGAGGCCAAACACCGATCCGAAAATGAGGCCCACGCTGCAGCGGGAGCACGATTCGAAACGATTCGGGAGCAGAAATGAAGCCGGCGCCTCAGCGAGAGCAGCATTTTGAAAAAAACGCAGGCGCAAACCCGTTTCCCGGGAATCCGGTGTAAAAAACAGTACGCGGGGGGGGTCGGCCATCTTCGGGACGCCATCAGGGGAAGTGGGAGAGTATTTTCATATTGTGTAATTGTAGATGGAGGAGGATGAGGAAGAGATGGAGGAGGATGGGGAGGAGGAGGAGGAGGGGGAGGAGGAGGAGGAGGAGGAGGAGGAGGAGGAGGAGGAGGAGGAGGATGAGGAGGAGGAGGAGGACGAGGAGGAGGAGGGGGAGGAGGGAGGAGGAGGAGGAGGAGGAGGAGGAGAGAGGGACGAGGAGGAGGGGGAGGAGAAGGAGGAGGAGGAGAGGAGGAGGGAGGAGGAGGAAGAGGAGGAGGAGGAGGAGGAGGAGGAGGAGGAGGAGGAGGAGGAGGAGGAGGACGGGTCGCCTACGCCCTTCGGAGAAACCCTCCCATCTCAGGAACGGCCCCATACGGTGAAGTCACTGGATAACGAACCATGGAACAAAGAACCCAAGGTATGGAAGCCAGTGGGAATTCCAATCGCTGACCGGCCATGGATGTCATCCCCGCCCTCCTCAGGTAAGGAATCCTCCAAGGTCTGAAGCCTCCTGGGCACATTTCTCAACGAACGCCCCGCCGAAACCCCAACCCCTCCTGAGCCCGAAGCGGACCGTGTTTCAGCGTCTTGACTGTACGGTCGGGAACTTAGCATCGCTTGTCGCCGCGGCTGCCCCAGCGACACGCCATGCCCTGCGAGCGGGTAGCGTGTCGCTCTGCTCCGCGGGGTGGGAGGAGGAGAACCGCTCGGGACGTTAACGCTGGGGGACCGGGGCGTGGATAGCGTGTCGCGCCGAGGCGTTGTGGGCCAGAACCGGCGGAACCACACGCTATCCAAACGTTCCCGATCGTACACCATCGGAGGCCCGCGCGGATTCTGGGTGTCGGCACTGAACCCCCCTGGCGGCGCCGCCCCTGGCGCGCTCCGCGCGTCCGGCCGCCAGGGAGGGGGGCCCAGCGCCGACCCAAGAAATCCGCGCGGACCTCAGACAATGTTTGCGTGTGTAGCTTTTCCTTCCTCGACTCCTGCCCGTGGTGGCCCTGTAGTAGCGCGCCGCCTCCATCACGGTGGCGATGTCGTACTGCTTGTTGGCCGGCAGCAGCGCGGACCGCTCCTCGTCCGTGGCGGCGTGCAAGGATATCGCCAGGGTGACCGGCATCCCCTCGTCCGCCAGCCGCACGATCTGGGGCGCGAGGCCCACCGTGCTGATGGTGATGCGCCTCCACCCCACGCCCAGCTGGTCGTGCACCCTCCGCATCGCGGCGACGACGTTGTCGTAGTTCGCCAGCGGCTCCCCCATCCCAAGCAGCACCACCGAGGAGAGGCGCTGCCCGTCCCGCTGCAGGAGCGCCGAGTAGCGCGCGGCCTGCTCGAAGATCTCCGTGGCGGAGAGGTGCCGCTTGAAGCCCATCTGGCCAGTGGCGCAGAACACGCACCCCATCGCGCAACCGACTTGGGAGGAGATGCAGGCCGTCCGGCGGCCGTCGTCGTAGAGCATCAGCACCGACTCGATGGCGTGGCCTCCTGGGACGCCGTAGGCGCGCTTGACTGTCCCGTCCTTGGACCGCCTCTCGGCCAGCACGGTCCAATCGGGCGCGCCGATGCAGGCGACCCTGTCCAGCTCGTCCGTAAACGTCCTCGGGACGCCCCGGCCCCGCATCTCCTCGAAGGACTGGGCGCCCTTCTTGTAGAGCCACTTCCACAGCGCCTCCGCCCAGAAACGCGGGCGCCCGCGCTCGTCCACGACCCAGGCCTCCAGCTCCTGGAAGAAGAAAGAGTCTGCATGAACATACGGCAAGTTCGTGTCGTGTGGACCCCGGCGTTGGTTTCTGACACGGCGTGGATCGTTCAACCTTGAACGATCGGCCCTTTCAAAAAGGCCAGATCGTTCAAGGATGGGCCGATTCTGGGCCGCAAGCGTTGTTCAACCGTAAACGTCCGCGCTGGGGTCGCCGCCGGTCGACACGACGCGAACCTGCCGTAAGCTTGCGGATGCCCGCGCGGATTTCTTGGATCGGCACCAGAACCCCCTGCCTGGCGCGCGGAGCGCGTCGGGGGTGGCGCAGCGCCGACTCAAGAAGTCCGCGCGAACGCCCCCGAACCCCCTCCCTGGCGCGCGGAGCGCGTCGGGGGCGGCGCAGCGCTGACTCAAGAAGTCCGCGCGACCCCCCCGAAGCTTTGAGTCGGGCCTGTCTCTCTACAGGGGGATTCTGGGCGAAAAATTTAAGATATTCAAGGCATACTCCTCAAATGACCAAAAATAGTTAAACAATCGTCCCCAGACTATTTTTGGACTATTTTTGAATGTCGCTCCTGTAGAGGGACAGGCCCGACTTAACTCAAAGCTCACGTTTGCAGCCACCGCGCCACCACGAGGGACGCAGAAGAAGGAACGCAAGGGTCTCCTCTCACCCTGGCGGGCCTGGGCTGCAAACAGGGTCCAAGACTTAAGTTGCTCCCATCGTACTTGAGGACCGCATCCCAGACATAATTTCGAGCACCCAGAAAAGTATCGAAACGGTGTCGAACGAGTATCGCTTCCCAGGGCCCGACACCTGAACACCCTCCAGTTTCGGTACTTCTTTGGTGCACTAAATTCTTTTTGGTGATCAAGGCTAAAGTAGGTTGGAACATCTTAATCCAAGACGCACATCTGAGCGGCCCGAAAGCCCGAGCTCCTCCCGAGCCCCAAAGCGGCCCTTCTTTCAACGTCTCGACTGTACGATTTTTTTTTTTTCTTCGAGCTCCTCCTGGCTGAGCTCGTAGAGGTTCAGCTTCGGCATGCCCGCCAGCACCGCCGCCTCCGTTGCCTTGGCGCCAGCCGTGCCCAGCCACGGGCTGGCCCGCGAGGCTTCCTGGCGGGGCTGGGTCTGCACTGCTGGCGCAGGGCCCGCTGCGCGGGGCTGGCCCCGCAGAGCCGGCGCAGGGCCTGCTGCACGCGCCTGCCGCGGCGCCTGCTGCGGGCGGAGCGCGGGTGGTAACTGCACCTGGTCGTCCTTCGGCTGCGCGCAAGAAGAGCCCCGGGGCAAGAGTGACCTCTGGTTGGCGGCGGGCACGGGGGGGAAGCGGGAGGGGGCGGGCCTCCTCCGCAGGCTCGGACGGCCTCGGGCCTGCCGAGACACTGTCTGCAACCGTTTCCCGAAGACGCAGGAGGCTGCCCAAAGGCGCGAAGGCTTCGGAGAAGCCCCGCCGCCTTCGGAGAAGGCCTGCCCCCTCTCACTTGCTCCCCAGGCGCGCCGCCTATCTGGCACGCGGCTTCGAGGGGCCGCGGGTGGCGGCCCCCCCGTCCAGGCGCGCTGGCCCGTGCCGGGGGGGTGCCCTGTGGGCCCGCACCGACAAGGTCACGCGGGCGCAGGGCCACTCTGGCGTATAGCAGGCTCCCTCCCTCTCGTCTGGTCAGGGCTCGGGTCTTCGACGGCCGTTCGGGATGATTCGGGCGCCCCCGGAGCGCTCCCGGCGAGGCGCTGATGCTGGACGCAGCCCGAGGCTGGAGAACCACCGCGAACCGACGACAGCCGCCCGAAAACCTCGAGCCTCGATCCGGCGAGCGGTCACTCTTACTCGGGGGCCGCTGATGGTGCCCCTGGCCCCAGGTGCCCCTAGCTTGTCGCTCAGTTCTGGAGCCCCCCTGTGGCCCCCTGGGCCTCGTGAGGGCTGCTCTGCGGGCCGTGGGGCCCCCCCCTGGAGATCCTGGGGGTACCTTGGGCCAGCGGCCCTTCGCCCCCAGACATGCGACGTCCTGATTTCTTCAGGACGGCGCCCCAGGAAGTCCAGACCCTTTCCCCGGGGTCGGCTTTTCATCCTGAGTCGTTTTTTGACGGTCCTGGGGCCTGGCGAGGGCCTCCAGAGGCCGAAAATAGTGAAAAACCTCCGTCCTGATTTTTTTACGACGGGATCATGTCAGGGCCCGATACATGCTACGTCGTGCAGCCGAGTCCTTCGCGAACTTCTCCGGCTCCATAATGGGCACCCCCTCCCACGCCTTGCCGGGCCGCCGCGGAGGTCCGCCGCGCCCCCCGGCGGCCCTGCCGCGGCCGCCTCCCGAGGGCCCCTGGCGCTTGCCTCGTTCTGGCGCGGCCAGCAGCCGGACGGCGTGGCCACGCCTCGGAAGCTGCGCGGCCGCCGCCGCCGCCGCTCCAGTGCCAGCAGCCATGGCTCGGGGGTTGCCAGAAGGTAGCGAGTGGCAGGGCCACGGGATTCTCACCAATACTATAGTTCTCAGGCTTCGTGTTCCTCCGAGCCCTCCTAGGAGGCCTCGCCAAAGCGGGCAGGGTATCGCTATACCATACCAGCACCCCGTCCCTAACCCAGTACATGAGAATTGCTGGGACGAGAAATTCATCACCCCCCCGAGCCCCAAACTCCATAATCACCCGGGTGTGATAATCTTGGCACATGCGCCCACAGCTCTCCGCGCCATCCTGGGAGGTCCCCTGGGGGGCCCTCTGGGTCTCGTGAGGCGTGCCCTGGGTGCCGACAGGGCCACCCCGGCGAGCAAAGAGCTGGGGCCGCCTTGGGCCAGGCCCGCCTCTGGCAACACCCCGGACGGCGGGCGCCGCTCCCGGCGACGGCGTCGGCCAGAGGCCCACGAGCGCGGTGAGGCCGAGGGCTCCGCATGCAGAGGCGGCGGCCGCCACGGCCACCGCCGCGGAGGCGGCGGTTGCCGCGCGGCCCCGTGGCGCGGAGCCCCGCCGGCCGTGCCGCGGCGGCGGCCGCGGTGGCGCCGCCGCCGCGTCAGCGAGTGCCATGGGCGAGAGGCGCGCTGCTCTGGGCGCGGCAGGGCCTACTGCGGCTCGGCGAGGTACATGGCCGCCCGGCTGCGCAGAGCGCAAGGGAACGTTGGGCCAGGGTGGCTGCGGCTCTGCAGCCGAGACCTGTGGCGCGCCCCTCCACCGTTCGTCGCAACCCACCTCGCCTCCCGTTCGGGTGTTGCTGGAAGTGCCCCTGGCCCAAGGTGCCCCCAGGATCTCTAGAGGGGGCCCCCACGGCCCGCAGAGCAGCCCTCACGAGGCCCAGGGGGCCCCAGGGGTGCTCCAAAATTCAGCGACAGGCTGGGGGCACTTTGGGCCAGGGGCACCTTTAGCAACCCTCGATCTTGGGCCAGGGTGGCTGCGGCTCTGCAGCCGAGACTTGTGGCACGACCCTCCGTCGTTCGTCGCAATCCAAATCGCCCGCCTTGTCTGCCCTCTGGTGCCGCTTCGGCCTCCAGACGAATCCAATATAGCCAATGACTGTCCGAAAACGACTGCGAGACGCTCCTGGACCGTCCTGAGATGGCCCACCAAGCCCCCACAGGCTCCAAGATTTTCCCACCATGCGCCGCAAAACCCCAAGAAGCCTCCAAGAGACCCCCAAAACGGCCCTCAGATGCGAACATTGTCGACGCGAATCATGGTTTCTTGCTTCGGATACTTGTCGGCTTCATACTGACTCGGGAAACCATTAGAAAACGCCCCAATAGTTCAGATTTCTACGGAACGCATCAGGGAGCGTCCTAATCAAAGGGACTCGGGAAACCAAGAAGCCCCCACGACGGTGAGAGACGGCTTCAAGAGCTCTCCACTAGCTCACATTTCGGTTTCCAAACTGCTCCAAGACAACTGAAGAGCGCGCGAAAACGGCTACAGGACACACCGATAACGTGCAAAGACGGCCCAACGAGCCCGCACGGTCCCCAAGGTTTTCCCAATATGTCCCCAAATGCTCCCAAGAGACGCTCAGCGAGGTCTCCAGCGAGGCCCTCAGCGGCGAGAATTGTGAAAACATCATTAGGGAAGCGTTGTTTATTGCTTCGGATGATTTTCGGCTTCAAATCGGATCGGGAAACCTTCCGAAAGCTTCAAGAAGCCCCCGAAACGGTAGACGGCCCCAAAACGGCCCAACGAACTCCCACATGCTACAATGTCTTCCCAAGATGCCCCAGAAGGCTCCAGGAAGCCTCCAACAGCCGCCCGAAGAGGCCTCCAGCGAGGCCAGAAGGGGCGAAGACTCTTGAATAACCTCGTCCAGGACAGACAACCCTGAGTCTGCTCGGGGATGAAGCCAGTGGCGGGCAACCTTTCGATCACACCGGCGACTTGGGGAAGAATGAGGAGTGCAACGACAGACAGCTACATAGGACGAGAACGTCGACGACGACGGCGGTTGCGGCGACCATGACAACGAGGACTGCGGCGGCGATGTCGTCTCCATCTCGGAGCGGGGCAATTTGAGACACTGGGAGTTCAAAATAGGTCCCCGGATCCCTCCCGAGTTCCAACCGCACCAGCTTGCCGCGCTGCGTCCAGCCGTCTCAAGAAAAAGGAGGAGGCGGAGGAGGAGGAGGAGGACCAGTGTAAACCCAAGAGTCACCAACTACAACCTCCCTCCAAGCTCCCTCTTCATAGGCCCCTACAACGGTTCACTTCCACAGAGGGACCTGCCTCGTTGAAAGACAACCGTTTGAAGACCCTGAAGCATGCCATAACATTCTTCTCGGTGTTCCAGCGCCACCGGTGAACTTGACCGTTGCGTCTTGACGGTTCTGAATCGTGCCAGAACGCCATTCCTGGGACCTCAACTCCGCGAATCATCGTAACTGTTGCGCCCTCAAAATCGTGAAACCGTCCAAAAACAATTTCTGGTACGTCGACCATGGGAGCCAGTGAAACTATTGCAATATTTTGAAACGAATGTGCGCGGCGCTAAGGCGAGAGCCACATTTTGGAAAGGAACTTCCTCAATCCGTGAAGCCTTTGCAAATTTTTAAAACGAATGAGCGCGGCGCTAAGGCGATAACCACATGTCGAAAACGACCCGCCCTCAATCCGTGAAGCTCTTCAAACTTTTTAGACGAATGTGCGCGGCGCTGAGACGAGAGCTGCAGTTTGAAAACGACCCGCGCTCAATCCGTGAAGCTCGTGCAAGGTTCTAAAACGAATGTGCACGGCGCTAAGGCGAGAGCCACATTTTGAAAACCACCCGCCCTCTATCCTGAAGCTCTTGCAAATTTTGAGAGCGAATATGCGCGGCCCTAAGGCGAGAGCCACATTATGAAAACCACCCGCCCTCCATCTGTGAAACTGTTGCCAATTTTCAAGCTTCAGCGTCATAAACGGTGAGGAAGTCTCAGGCGAAATGTCAGGTCCGCCGTAAAAACTTGCCTCGGGGTGCGACAGGAAGGAGTTATTTATAAGGAGAAGGAGTGGGGGAGGAGGAGGAGGAGAAGGAGGAGGAGAAGGAGGAGGAGGAGGAGGAGCCGAAGCCGGAGGAGGAGGAGGAGGAAGAGGAGAAGGAGGAGGAGGAGAAGGAGCAGGAGCAGGAGCAGGAGCAGGAGGAGGAGAGGAGGAGGAGGAGGAGGAGGGGAGGAGGAGGAGGAGGAGGAGGAGGAGGAGGAGGGAAGAGGAAGGAGGAGGAGGAGGAGGAGGAGGAGGAGGGAGGAGGAGGAGATGGGCCGAGGAGGAGGTGGGGCGGGGGGGCGAGGGCTTCTCCCCGCTGCTCTCTCGCGGCGCCCGCCCCCCGCCCCCCCTTCTCTCTCGGCCCCTAGCCGCCCTTCCCTGCCCCTCGCCCGCCCTCGGCACCGACTCGCCGCGCATCGTCGCGCGTCGCGCGATCGCCGCCGTCGCGCGGCCGCCGCCGCCGCTCGATCGCTGCCTGCGGCGGCCGCGGCGGCCGCGGCGGCCGCCCCCGGCCTCGGACCAGGGCGCCTCGGGGCGGAAGGCCGCCCGGAGCACGGCGTCCTCGCCGCCGGCGGGGGGGGGGGGGGACTGTTTCCTCCGGGGCCGTAGGCGAGCGGAGGAGGCGAGGGCGAGGAGGAGGAGGGCGAGGATGAGTAGGAGGTGGAGGGGGAGGGGGAGGGGGAGGAGGAGGATGAGGAGGAGGGCGAGGAGGAGGAGGAGGGCGATGAGGAGGAGGAGGAGGAGGAGGAGGAGGAGGAGAAGGGCGAGGATGATGATGACGATGATGATGATGATGATGATGATGATGATGATGATGATGATGATGATGATGATGATGATGATGATGATGATGATGATGATGATGATGATGATGATGATGGCGATGGCGGTGACGATGACGATGATGATGATGCTGCTGATGATGATGATGGTGATGATGATGCTGATGATGACGATGATGATGATGATTATTATGATGATAATGATGATGACGAGGATGAGGATGAGGATGAGGATGATGATGATGATGATGATGATGATGATGATGATGATGGTGATGCTGATGCTGATGATGATGATGATGATTATTATGATGATAATGATGATGGTGATGATGATGAGGAGGAGTGGATGATGATGATGCTGATGATGATGATGAGATGAGGATGATGATATGATGATGATGAGGATACTGTGATGATGATGATGATGATGATGATGATGAGGAGAGGAGGAGGATGAGGAGGAGGAGGAGGGCGAGAACGAGGAGGATGAGGAGGAGGAGAGGAGGAGGAGGAGGAGAAAGGGAGGAGGAGGAGGAGGAGCAGGAGGAGGAGGAGAAAAGAGGAGGAGGAGAGGAGGAGGACAAGGACGAGGACGAGGACGAGGAGGAGGAGGAGGACGAGAGGGACGAGAGGACGATGAGGAGGAGGAGGAGGAGGAGGAGGAGGAGGAGGAGGAGGAGGAGGAGGAGGAGGAGGAGGAGGAGGAGGAGGAGGAGGAGAAGAGAAGAGAGGAGGAGGAGGGCGGAGCAGGAGGAAGGAGGAGGACAGGACGAGGACGAGGACGAGGACGTAGGGACGGAGGAGGAGGAGGAGGAGGAGGAGGAGGAGGAGGAGGAGGATGACAAGGACGAGGAGGAGGAGACGACTGAGGAGAGGAGGAGGAGGAGGAGGAGGAGGAGGAGGAGGAGGAGGAGGAAGAGGAGGAGGAGGAGGAGGAGGAGGAGGAGGAGGAGGAGGAGGAAGAGGAGGAGAAGAGAAGAGGAAAACGGGTCACCTAAACCCTTCGGAGAATCCCGCCAGGGAGGGGGGGGGCTCTTCGCTCGCGCCACGGGGCCTGGCCGCCGCCTTTCGCCGCGTCTCGTCGTCGTCGTCGTCGTCGTCGTCGTCGTCGTCGTCGTCGTCGTCGTCGTCGTTGTGGTCGTCTTCGTGGCGGTGGTGGTGGTGGTGGTGGTCGTCGTCGCGGTCGTCGTCACTATCGTCGTCTTCGTGTGCT